CAAAGGACACCATACCATCAAGAAAATAAAAAGAATGGGAGAAAATTATTTTGAAATCATATTTCTGATAAGGGACTTGTATTCAGAATATGTGAAGAATTCTTACAATGTAACAATAAAAAACAACACAACTGAAAAATTGTCAAAGGATTTGAACAGACATTTTTGCAAAGAAGATATACAAATGCCCAATAAGCACATGAAAAGATGCTCAACATCATAGGTATTAGGGAAATGCAAATCAAAACCAAAATGAGACACCAGGTTCATACTCATTTGGATGGCTATAATAAAAAAAAAAGTGAAAAAGTAATAAACATTGGAACAGATGGAGAGAAACGGGAACTCTCAGACACTTCTGGTAGGAATATAAAATGGAACAGCCACTTTGAAAAACAGTTTGGCAGTTCTTCAAAATGCTAAATAGAATTATCACATGACCTGGCAATTCCACTCCTCAGTATATGCCCAAGAGAACTGAAACATATTTGCATGCATAAACATGTATACAAGGTTCATAGCATTATTCATTATCACCAAAAAATGGAAACAATCCAAATGCCCATCAGCTGACAAATATATAAACAAACTATGTTATATCCATAGGAAAGAATATTATTTCACAAGAAAAAGGAATGAAGTACTGATACATGCTACGACATGGATGAACCTTGAAAACATGTGAAGTCAAGTATGTTATACAGATATAAAGATATAAAACAAAATAATTATATTGTATGATTCTGTTGATATGAAATAGCTAGAATCGGCAAATTACATAGAGACAGAAAGCAGATTGTTGTAAAGTGCCATCGAGTCGTATCCGACTCATAGCGACCCTATGCACAGCAGAACGAGACACCACCCGCTCCTGAGCCAGCTCCACTATTCTTGCTACACTTGAGCCCATCACCACCGCCACTGTGTCAATTCACCTCGTTGAGGGCCTTCCCCTCTTTCGTCGACCCTCCACCTTACCAAGCATGACATCCTTCTCCAGGGAATGGTCCCTTCTGACAACATAACCAAAATATGTGAGATGAAGTCTGGCCGTTCTTGCCTCCAAGGAGCATTTTGGCTGCACTTCCTCCAGGACACACCTCTTAGTTCTTTTAGCAGTCCACGGTACTTTCAGCATTTTTCGCCAGCACCACAGCTCAAAAGCATCAACTCTTCTTCGGTCTTCCTTATTCATTGCTCAGCTCTCACATGCCTATGTTCTTATTGTTATGTGCACATACATATGAGATGATTGAAAATACCATGGCTTGTGGCAGGTGCACCTTAGTCCTCAAGGAGACATCTTTGCTCTTTAGCACTTGAAAGAGGTCCTTTGCAGCCAATTTGCCCAGTGCTATACATCGTTTGATGTCCTGACTGCTGCT